CTTTTTAAAAGTTGTAAATATAATTATTTTTAGGGACTTATAGGTTTCGTATACACAGTGAATTGTGTTACAATAAGCCGTTTCGCTGTTATGGTTACTAACTGAAGAGTTATCCTTTTTTCTCACAGGGAATGACAATACAATAACAATACGAATAAAACCAGACGTTTCGCACAAAAAAGTGCCTCAGTCAGTGGCAAGAAATAAGTAATTAGGCATACATGTTTTCTTTCGATAAAATCGATGAAGTAGTTACCTTTATTTTTTTAAAGATATATTTTCAGCAGTTTTTAAGCACATCATGGAAGCTTATAGACATTTGTGTATTTTATCGGCAACCCGGCTGGCCAGACCGAGACGGTGCCGCATTTAGTTCTCATCGATGTTAAACCTATACACTCATTTTTCTCCACTGACGAAGGCACGTTGTTGTCCGAAACGTTTGGTTTTATTCACATTGTTTTTATATTGTCATTGTCCGTGAGAGGAAAACATAATCATATGGACTGGTCTCAGTTCATATAGAAATTGTTGCACATTCATCAACACAGATAAAATGAATATTAGCCCTCACCACACATATAAGTAGAGGTAAGTAGACCGCGCCCCCTGTTTCTCACCAATAAATCGCGGCAAAGCGAAGGATTGCGACGATTCTTTGGTGCCCTGGAGTTAATCAATTTTACATCTTCCCGGAAAATTAAATAGCCCTTATCATTTTTGCGTCTTGTCTGAGAATTTTAAATCCCTGAACCAAATTACCTTTAACCTGTGATTATTTTTCTCAAGATCATGTCAGGCCAGAATAGCAATTGAAAGTCAGCGCACATTTTCTGTGTGTTTCCATAGTCGTTTCGTGATTAGCAACGTGACAACATGTGAAATATACTATCTAATGTTTGTCTCATTGATTGTTGTGGGTGCCAAGGTCACGTGAAACTCAGGTTAAGGTCATTTACTTGAAATGATCTCGGTTAACTTCCTTAAATTTACACCTTTTTACTGTGGTTTTTAGGAAGTGTTGGTTTGAAATTTAGCACCCATTTTAGCATTTGAAAACTAGGCATACTTAGGTATCAGTTATAGTGGCTATGCAATATCTTGCAAGGCTGTAAGTGCTCGTTAACATTAGCCGGCAGAACGCCTAATGGGTGATCTGGCGTGACCCGTCCTACCCCAAATGCTTTGATACATCATCTTTGATCAAAGCAAGTGCAAATTCGGAGTCAGAAGCAAGCCAAGTCCCAGCAAACTTCACTTGTAGAAATTCTAGCAGGACCCAATTTTCCGTGCTTTTGGGTTATCTGGGAGGTCAACCAGTGACCTAGGATCTCAGCATTGACCAGAACATAAAAATAATTGGCTTTTTCTCGTCAGCGATGACCAGGACCCTCAAATCATCGGATTTCTCTCGTCACGAGCAGCTCGCTCTTTTTTATTTTTCAGCGAAGCTCTGGCTCTTTTTATCAAGGGCCGAATGGCTGAGGGTTTCTACGCCCCTCCGCTACATGTAAGACGCTGAAAAAAAAAATGCCTAAATTGGTGAGGGTTAAATATCGATTGGTTTTTAAGTGCCGAAGCCCGAAGCACTTTAATTTACTTCGATATCAGTTTTTAAGACCAACGAGCTCGAATACTATAACTTCTTGAACAATGTAAGCGCCTTTTATAATGAACAGACAAATAACTATTGAGAGCCCCAAATAGGGGAGACTGAGGTAAGATGAGCCAAGGGGCAAGTTTAGCCACCCCATGTTTATCAGCTCCTATGGCGCTAATTGACTTGAGCTTCCATGTGCCGTTCGCTTACGATACTGCAGTCTTTCAAGTGAGACGGCAACGTTCTCACGCTCAGCACCCGGTAACATGTGGTATCGCCCCTGATAACTAAGACATGTTTTGCCTTTAAAATGAGATGGTTGTTATCTGCGGTGCATGGTTATTTTCCTTAGCGGGTGTCATAAATCGAAAATGGCCACGGGTGGGGCAAGATGAGCCATTTTCACCTGGGGGAAGATGAGCCGGATAAGCCATTGTCTCCGCTGTCGAAAGCCAAACTGAGCTGTGCTTGTTTCTGCTGAATAAAAATGGTAGGAAATTGTTTTTCTTTGTTGATTACACAAGTTGTAAGTGATTTGCAGATTATCTGAAGGATAAAATGATTTCTTCCGTGATAGAAAACTTCACGAGTTATTGGAAGGCTTAAAACAGTCACTTTTTGATGGAGGAAAAAAACTTTGCCATAAGTATGTATGCCATGGAGTAAATAAAAGAGCCCACTCTTCGCCGCGCCCGGGAAAAGAAGAGGTTCGCTTTTTCTATCCATGCTCAACTTTCCCCACGACGTGTCTCAACTTACCCCGACCATGGGGTAAGATGAGCATTGAGCAACGTGTAAGATGATTTTTGACGTAGCCTTTCAGTACAAAAATAAGCGGTATGAAACATTTCTGGCCACCATTACATGCGCAAATGACCACTCTGTCCGCCCAACCCGTAAACGCAGAAAAATGATCAGTAAGTTAGCCTGTAGCTTACGAAAAACAAAAAGCGGCTCAACTTACCTCATTCTTCCCTACGTTACACAATTGAGGGCATTTTTTAGGCCATCACAGTATTTGTCAACAATTGTTATTGGGGGGACTGGGGAGGGTGGTTACTGGCTCATAAACTGCCCCCCCCCCCAAAAAAGCGAAACCGATCATCCGCATAAAGAACTATTGAGCTCGAACCAAGGTGACGAATCGATTTATAGGTAGGTATGCAGGATGACTAACGATGCCACTTTTTTACTTCTTGTGTCAAATAAATTCCATCATCTGGATAGCACGTCATTCGTCAACATTCTATTTGACATTTTACAACAAACGTATACTATTTGGCGCGACTAACCTCATAAATGTTCTGAAACTAAAACCGTTTCTTCGCAATTAACTCGGACCACGTCATCCCAGCTTATGCACGACAAAAATAAAATAATGCTTCAGGATCACTGGCCTGAATTCCAATGCTTAAAGTTTACTCAAAACCGGTGTGGTTAATAAGGAAAGGATTGGTGAGTGGGTTGAAAAAAGCCCTCACCCTCCACCTCCCCCCTCCTTCTTCTGGAAACATAAGTAATCGAAAGATCTGGCGATGGTTAATCCACCTCCTCTGCCGCCGCGCTGCGAGGCCTCGATTCGTTCGGTATGTGGCTTCCTGAGCGGTCGTTCCTGGAGGCAAGGTGAAAGGTCATGGCCTGTATCATAAATTTATACGTTGCTGAATATGTTTTATAGTTCTTCCAAGGCCTTGGATACCGTTTTATTATATCGGATAAGCATTGCACTTACTTGTCAATCAATACATTTAAAGAAAACTTGATCATAAACTAATACTGCGGCAATTGTAGTTCTGCTTACGGTTATCTCTTTATGATACGGGCCACCACCACCTCCACTGCGCTGGAGCTCAGGCGTTCTACCCCTCCCCGCTACGGACCGGCCCTCGGGCTAGGTGTGTTAGTACTGAGCGCAAACCTGTAGTAGTCACGTGACTTTCATTCACGTAGCGGGAACGGAAGCTATAGGCGATACCAAGGACGGGCTCTGGGGAGGCAACCGGCGCGGAAAAATAGCACGATTGTAGTTTTGGAAGAATATCTGTTGCGGTAAGAGGAATTATACAAAACATACGTGCTAGGAGCAAACATGTGTTATTCCTCCATACTTTGCGCTACATTTCCTTTCTCCAATGGCCAGTACTTAGCAAATAATAGCGCAATTCTAAATTGGTAATATATGTGTACAGTAGCAACTGCGGGTCCCTGTACCTACATATCCAACCGCGACGGTAGGCCGAGTCAGAAGGTCAGCCTCGAAACGCCTTCGCCATTTAGGGTGAGCTGACAATCATCCAAAGATGATTGCAGATCTTTCCGCCTTATGAAGGAAAGAGATATCACATACCCCGTAATATTTTTAATGAAAAGCATTACGTTTGTGGGCCTAATTCAGAAGATAATTAACTTTTTAACTTGTCTCCGCTTCCCACCTACCACTGGGCATCGTGTATCGATAGATACCGCCTCCAGGTCGAACTGAAAGACCAGCCGAGGCCTCATGGTCGGTGGACTGGACTGGATGTGGACTGGAGTCCTCATACTGGGTTGACAGGACCAATCCCAAGCCCAGTCGGCACACCTGTCCCTAAGCGCCCCCAATGGCAGGGAAGCTCGCACCTATCGGGCACTGACTGATCTGGGTTGATCTGACCGACCGATCTGATCGATCTTATTTGACCAGCACGATCAATCGCAGCTACTTCATTGTGATCGATTGGAGGTCGATGCATGAAGCGGTTTATCCAGGTCGATTGTGGGCCATTTTCAGTTTGTGTTACCCATTCCCCAGAATAAAGCAGCGAAGCTCGTAACTCATTCGAAGCTCGCAACAAAAACATGCAAATTCAACAGGGACGTCCAGAGTGAAATAGCCATTCCGATGAACCCGAGCATCACAGGCGCTCAGTTGTGATGCTCGGGAACCCTGCTCACGTAAATTCACCCCACGGGAACTCCTCTCGAGGCGCTCATACCCCTGCGGAGGTGACAACTGCCCACGGGGCCGGCTCGCCCGGCGGCCGGTCGGTGACGGCCGGCTGGTCGGCCGCCGTGTGATCGATGCCGGCACTCGGCTGCCAGTGGCGACCACCGCGTGCAGACGGCCGCCGCGCCGGCCACCGCGGCCCCCGCCGGCACACGCGAGCCGGCAGGCCGGGCCGAGCTGAGCGGCCGGCGGGGACCCAGCGGCGACCCCCCGCTGACCGGCGCGTGGCTCCTCTCGGCTCGGCGCGCAGCTGGACACCCGACCACTACAAAGGCGCGCCCTCCGACAGCGCCGCGACAGTGAAAAGGGCAATTACACGGCGTTTGGCCGGTGACTGAGCGCTCTTTGCGAGTGGAGTGGCCAATTTCGTCCGCGGTCGGCGCACGGCGAGCTGCCAGATTCAAGAGCACTCACCTGTCATCGTATGCAAACTCCGCGTCCAGTGTGTTGTAGTACAGGAGAAACGCTAGCACCGAACTAATCACTGCTAGGGATGCCATAGACGGCCATCCTCCCCCTCGCGCCGGCCGCACTGCACTACCGGCGCCGCCGCGCCGGCCCACTAGTTGTCGCCGTCGCCGCCAGGTGGCAGTCAGCGCCATGACGTCGGAGGAGCGCCATGCAGCAGGCGTCCCGATTGACAGCAGCTATGATACAGAAATATGGGCGGCTGGCCGGCCGCTCGCCGGCTCCGGCCGCGTCCGCGAGCGGCTCGTTTGCCGTACTGCCGGAAAATCATTGGTAAAATTAGAGTTGCGTGACGACGGCAGCGGCGGCCGGGGGCGGGGAGGCGGAGCCAAGCTCCACCGACCCCGCCGCAGCGGCAGCGCTGCCCAGCTGAGGAGGTGGCGACGGTGGCGGCGGCCAGGCCAAACACTGCACACCGGGACGCCGGCACCGAGTCAGTCGCAGATCTGCGGGAACGCGATTTTTTCTCAAGCTCTGACGCTGCATACCTATTGTGCCCGATAAATGTCTGACGTTGCATATTGTGTCCGACTAATAATGCTGCTATATCTGAAACACACGCGTCTGTCAGAAAAGAATTGGGACTGAGACAGATAAAAAATGCTGATCGTTGAACATCCAGATGACACCTGAACTTGAATATCTCGACAGCAATAAAATAGCCGAAACATGTTATTTTCTGCTCCGGAAACCGTTACCAATAGTTGTGTGGGTATCTGTGATATCGTTGAAAGGGCGACTTTTAATCTCTTATGCAGTGACAACCTCACGATTATTCCGTCCACCGATCGATGACACCGCTTGTCTGAGAAACCGGCTCCTAAAAACGCCCTCCTTGCACTGAAAAATTGTCATTGTGTGTGTGAAGCTGCGAGTGTGACTGAGACAGTTAAGAACATGAGTGCAATATGTTTTTTGCCGAAGCGTTTTTTGTAACCGTATACCTAAAGGAGTTTGCAATGGTTTCAATATTTTTGACGGCTCGAGGGCTAGGCTTTAGGTAGGTAGGTAGGTAATGTATGCGTGCGTACGGTAGAAGGTACAATAAAAGCAATTTGTTTGCAGACCTTTATCTTGAGTACCCATTTTCGTCAGAATTTCCGATACCTATTTGAAGTGGAAATGGAAAAGAAATGCGAAAAATATAAGGGGTAAAAGCCTACCATGGCTTCGAAATGCAAATAACACACAGTCGCCGATGTACGAGCGGTGAGCCTAACCGATCAGTATCGGGCCGTCCAACCAGCTCTGAGCATGGTCGGTCCAACCGCCCCCGAGATATAGCGAGCATGCAGACGCCGGCCCTGCACGTGCGCACGTGCAAAGTGAAACCCTAGTTATTTGTTTGGGTCGCTTATTTAGTCAGTCCTGTAGTCGGGTATTTAGGCCTGTCAAATCTATTTAAGTGCTTTGATGAAAAGCGCACGTAAAGCCTCAATACCATTACTACCGGCCAAATAGGTACCATCTTAATCTTGATATCACTTTTTGACTTTCTATTCATTCCCACTGCACGTCTTTTGTCGTATTTATTTCGTACCTTTATTCTCCCGAGCTGTGAGCACTCGGATGTTTCATCATTCACACAATTATGACGTCACTGCACAGTGCACATAGAGCTATAGGTCCTCTGAGGTAACTTCATTTTGGTCCGAACTCCGAATTCACTGTGTCGCATTTGGAGGACTTGGTAGGTAAATGCTGAACAACAGTGAGACTTTTTTTTTGGACGACGAACATGTGAGACCTCCATCTGACTTGAGCGACGCCTAATTGTTCCAGCTGTTCTTGAGCCGCAACACATGGCGGCCCCTGCACACTCTAATCGTGACACATGGAAATGCATCGCCCTGCGGGTGTCCATTGATATAGGCCAGGTTTCAGTGGAATCGGCCCAGTCACAGACTTTTCCATATAAAAGAGAGAGAGAGAGAGAGAGAGAGAGAGAGAGAGAGAGAGAGAGAGAGAGAGAGAGAGAGAGAGAGAGAGAGAGAGAGAGAGGGAGAGAGAGAGAAGGTCTGTGGTCCACCGTCCAGTCCTTGTGAGGTTACTTTACCAAAGTCCGGGAACCCTGGTTTTGCACGTGGTACGTGTCGACTACAGAATGATGTTCCACTTTTCAAAGGCAATTATTTGCCTGGAGTGGTAGGCTGTGCTGCATCACACGGGCTGAGTTCACAGATTATAGCTTTGTCCCAATGCTCACAAGTCACAACCGACACGCTTAATTGCGTGATAAACGGCACAACTTAGCGCTCCGGTCAACTGATAGCTTCTGAGGAGTGGAACATCATTCTGTAGTCGACTATATGTACTGTGACGGTCACTCAGCTGCATCGCAAGAAGTCGATTTCTAGGTAAACAGAACCGATCAGGAACTTACGGCTGTGAAGATGTAATTCTCTCAAAAGAGTTACAGAAGGGGCCGATCATATACGAGTACACATATATTTTCAGCTGGAACAAATCGAAATTCGCTTATTACTATACTTGGGTTATAACTCAACATAAAAATAATTCGAATTGGAACTTAGCCCTCGCCAGGCCATGGTCTTTTTCATAACACGGACGGCCAGGGGGGGAGGGTACGAGCCCCCCTGGCGATTGACTCCTATGGCACTTAGAAACACCAAATTTACAGGGTAGATGGGTCCCTAGGAGATCTATTCCCTGTGCGAATTTGGTTGCTCTATGTTAATGTTGGTTAATATTTAGGGGATTTTGGGGGTATAAATGTAAAAATTTCGCTAAAAAAGACAGGTCAAAAGTTTTTTGCTTTTAACTTTTGATCTAATTAAGCTAGAGCAGAAAGAAAAGCACCAGTGAACTCAGCACGTCAGTGCACAGGCAACCCCTTCAAAAATGATGCAACCCTCCCCCGTAAGGTTTTTTTCGGGAATAACGTAAAAACGGCGATGCGTAGCGCAGCCAAATTTGGCACACTCTATGGGGCAGCCTTTTGGCACCTTCCCTGAAACTTTCAGGTCTTTGTCATTTCAGGTCAGGTCACCAAGTCACCAAAAACGGTGAAGGGAGGGTTGCCTGGGGAAGGAGGTAATTTTGGGCTGTGACGTCACATATTTGAAAGTTTGTGTTTGGAATATGGGAAGCCTTATTAGGCCGCGTTCCCACTACGACCGTTCAACATCGTAAATTGCAAGAACGGGAGCAAACGGACGAGATCGTTGATCTAGAGACTTTTCTAAAAAAGTTGAACACTTCCCTAGATCTGGTATACGGGGCAAGATGGGGAAACATCGTAAGACATCGGCAAACGGCTTGGACGAAGCCAATTGAGAGGAGCGATGATGAAGGAGGGATCGGCACAATAAGCTATTGTAAAAAAAGTTAAGAATACCTATAGGTAGTTGACGTGGTAAAAGAACCCATGCAACTGAATGAATGATAAAATTAGAAAACCTTTTAAATTTATTAGCGTGTTAAAAGCAAGCGAGCATTAGAAAATATATCAACAATGCGAGCGAAAAGCATTCACAGCTGTGATAACGACAATCTATTGACTTTTGAAGAGAAAATGTGTGCAGTTGATATAACTCATTGTGGTGTTGCTGTGAATACCTTCGGGAAGCTGTAACCGATAAACTGCAAGTTCCGATGATTTCTTAACAGTTTATTATTGCAATCCTCGATAAAACATTTAGCAAATTGAAACAGGCTGCAATGCAACTTAATTTGCCGACACAGGTTCAGCGATTTAGGTATACGAGTACAAGTATACTGAGCCGGCATTCAGCTTACAGCAGTGTCACAGCTCATGTCACCATCGTCATGTAACCACGCCATCTCGTCAGGCGATGCTAGAATTGTATAAAGGCAATTATTGTGGCAATTCATTGTGGACCAAAAACATCAGGTGTGCGTCCTGCAAACGGATTTACGAGACACCATTTGGTCCACCTGAGGACATATCCTCAACCGAACAGACGAAAAACACTAATGAGTTCAGCAAGGAAACTGACACCGTGTGCTCAATGAAGATAAGTGAGTGCATTCGAGCACAACGGTTCACAGCAGATGGTGGCAACTGTCGACGTTTGTCTGACAGCTCTGCAGTGTGGCGTGGCATCACAATGCAGCGGTCTTCCAGAGGAGAACTTGGTCTAACGTTTGAGATCCCAGGCCTGTCTACCTGAATCTACGATGCAACTCTTGGTAGCTGGCGCGCAATCGGATGGCTACTTTGTTTATCTCCGAGATTCTGAGTTCCGGAGCGGTGCTACGAAAAGAGGGAGATGAAGTGCAAGTCGCACCTGTTCTGACATAGCGAGGATCATCCACTCAAGAGTCGCATGCGATGTGCATAACAAGGACCAGACAGCCCAATGACAATCGCATGCTTCGCATGTGGTCTTCCCAATCACATGGCGCGGTCCAGATGGCCTTGATCCAGAAGACACTGTGATTGTTTGAGCCTCGAAAGTCGAATGAGGCCCTCAGTGACGATCCGACGGCGGAAGCTGCGTGTGTTGAACGAGGAGTGGCCGGCCGCTTGAGGTCATAAGTAGGTAAATGAATAAATTGCACTAGACCTACGGTAAACCTGCCGAAAAGTTAAGTTATTCATCGCCACTTAGCGCTCGCCTACCTGCATCTAGGTATGTATATAATTAGAGTTATGTAGCTTTTATCCGCAAAAATGCACCACCTTTCATGTCTTGCTGCTTGTCCTCTCACTTTGAATATCAAGAAACTTCCCAAAAAGGGCTTCCTGCTCTATGCACTGCCTAAAAATGCTTATTAGCGTCATTTAATATCTGCACAAACCTTCAAGAACGTTCAAAAAGTTGAACACTGTTCAACTTTTTGGCGACCTCACCAACCAACCAACATGGGGAGCAAACCTTCAAAACATTACAAATGCCTCCACCCGAAAACACGTGTCAAATACCCGGTTCCCACCACCACCGGCAGAGATCGTAAAAATGCATGCTGTGATTTTGCCGTTCTTGTCGATTTTCTCCCGTTATTTTACTTTACGATGTTGAACGGTCGTAGTGGGAACGCGGCATAAGATGTTTAATGAAAAATAAATGCCAGAACCGTGTTCCTGGTCATCCAATCTATAAAGTCGGGCAAAATTTAACTGGTTTTAACAACATTTTAGAAGGTGGGATAGTTCCTTTAAGTAGAGGCAATGTAGAGTACGTACTACATTGTACGTACTACATGTATTTGTAGCGGAAGATAGCGCTGCAT